CCCTTCCCTGCCCCCAGCTCAGGCCAGCTCTGCTGAAGAAGGCCCAGGGTCTTCCAGCCGGGCTCTGACATCTGTCAGCCTGCTGTTTCACCTTCGCTTCAGTTTGCTGTAAATGGGCCTGCTGAACATTAAAGCACTTGGCAGAAACCACCAGTAAATCTGGCCAAGATCCTTTCACTGCTGCCTTTTTCTGAGAAACGGAACTGCTCTGAAGTGACGCTGGGTGCTAGTGGGGCTGAAGGAAGGAAAGGCTCCTAGCAGACGGGCAGCAGGCGGGACTGAGTGAGGCGGTGGGAGCAGCACCCAGTGGCACCAAGGGTGTTCTGAGCCAGGCCTCAGGAAGGGTGACTCGCTACCCAGGCCTGCCCCAGGGTGTACTGTGTGCTCTTGCCTCCCTCTTCCTCTCTACCTTTCATTTTCCTGAACTTGTAGGGAGCAGATGTGATGGTGATGGTGATGCTGATGATGGTATAATCCTTGCTGTGCCGTCAGAACAGCTCTTTGGCTTGTCAGCTCCCAGCCAGGTCAGCAGATGGCTTCACCTTTCTGAGCCTCTGGTTCCTCACTGTAAGTGGGAGCAGGAAGCCTCTCTCACAGGATTGGTAAGAGGACCAAGTCCCACAGCTGCTTAAAAGTGGCGAGTACGGTTGCTGGTCTTCAGTAATTCTCTGCCTGTTTGCCAGTCCCACGTCTCTCCTCACCAGGGACAGGGATTGACTGTTTTAATGAGCCTAGCACGTCTTCCTGGAAGGAGGCAGACTAGGTCAGGTGCAGTGGTCTCTGCGGGGGGCTGAGTTCTTGGCTCAGTCTCATTACTGACTTTATGTGATTCTGCACGGGTTAGTTAACATTTTATTAGTCCTCTGTAAATAGGGATAATACCTGTGCCACCTGCCTTATAGAGGTTATGTCAGGTTGTTGGATTTGAATGAAGTAACAGAGAACAAAAACACTTTTGCGTACTATAAACTACTATGCAACTGTCAGGTGAAATAATTAACATTCATAATACATTCAAGGGAGATGAGTATGGTATTTCATATGTTTTGAAGATTATGTGAAATAATGCGTGTCAGCTTTTTAGCCCATTGTCAGGCATGTAGTGAGTGGGAGGTGTTGGTATCCTTGTCGTTGTTGTTAATCATCGTTATTTTAAGAAGTCTGATGGAGATGGAAAAGATGAACTTGCCGGCAGACCGTCCCCAAGGGCACTCTGTGCCTGTAATATAGTAGAAAGTTAGTAAATATTTTCATTAATTAATTAATTTGAAAAGATGTCAGGAAGTGACAGTACAAATCAGAGTAACACAAGCAGCATTTGCATAGCAAATAACCAATTTAAAACATGCTTGCATATTCATGACTTTGTTTAACCCTCCCAACTACTCTCTAGGGAAGGGACCAGCACCCTATTTGATAGATGAGGAAACTGAAACTCAAACGGGGGAAAGGACTTGTACATTGTTACCGTGCTGAGAATTTAACCCAGAATCCACATTACCAAATTGTTCCCCTAAGTACTCTTTCCCCCCAGTCTCCGTCTCTGTCCCCAAAGGCCATTTTTCCAGAGGAGGCTTGCAGCCTACACGTGCTGGAGTGCTGCTGGGCACCACGCCATACCCCATGCAAGGCAGGCTGCTCAGGTGGGGGCAAAAGAAGCATTTCTAGGGTTTGCAGCACCCGAGTGAGGAGGGACCGAACAGCCATTCTGAGCCGTTGCTCTCCCAGAGTGCCCAGCAGCCCCAGGAGCTTTGCTTTTCAGCTAAAAAATGTGCAGTTGTTGCTATGGTGAGAGCCTGGCTGTCTGTGCCTGGGGCCCATTGCTCCAAATCCTTTTTAGTTTCTACCCTTTCCAGGGCATTTATTTTGCAGTTCCTGCCCAAGGCCTGCAAATAAAGATGTCGAACAGCCACTGTGCTGCTGAACACAGATCCTCAGCACTGTATACCCCTCAAAGCTTCCTGCCGAGGCTTCCTGCCTTAGGTCCCTTTAAGACACGGGAGAGAGACTGCAACACCTACCGAATTGTACTGTGTTTTTCATTCTGAGGGAGTATGGGTTTATTGCATAAAATATAGAAAAGCACAGAGAACTTTAATAATTATTCATTTAGTAACTACTTCCTGAGCACTTGCCAGTGCTGGGGATGTGACAGATGCCACATGAATAATATATCAGCGATCTTCCCATCACTGGAAGATAATCACTATTAATATTTTGACAGCGTTCCTCCCAATTTTAAAAATATGCATAATTTTGAGCATTTGAGATTGTTTCTGCTTTATATCCATATACACAATTTTGTATCCTGCTTTTTCTTTAATTCAGGGGTAACATAAGTATGTTTCTATGATATTATAAATAATATCTTTAAGCATTCTTTTTTCATGATTACAAAAGCAATCCATGCTTGTTATAAAATAGTTAAACATTCAAACGTTTCAGAAATATATACTGGAAACTTACTCCTATTTATACCCTCTTCATAAGAAATGGATCCTCTTAACCTGTTTTTGTTGTTCATCTTCCTCACCCGAGGACATTTTTTCCCATTGATTTTTTTAGAGAGTGGAAGTGAGGTAGGAGATGGAGGAGAGAGAGAGAAGCATCGATGTGAGAGAGACACATTGATTCATTGCCTCCTGCACATTCCCTGACCAGGGCCAGGTAAGGAACCTGCAACCCAGGTACACGCCCTTGACTGGAATGGAACCTGAGACCCTATGGTCTCAGGGCCGACACTCTAACCACGGAGCAAAACCAGCCAGGGCTTACCCCCTTTTAATTTTTATATGTATCCAACTATTTACCCATTCTTTCACTTTTGGTTTTCTGGTTTTTCATCATTAAAAATAAAGCTTAGATAAACATCTTTGTTTATAGAACTTTTTTCAGATTCCACTCCTGTGGTAGTTTTCCCATTGAGAGAATTTGGGGTTAAAAATGGTATGAACATTTGCATCATTTTGAATCCCTATTGATGATATGTGACCTTATCCATTTCACCATAGCTTCTTGGCATTGAATATTGTAATTAAAAACCACAACATCAAATTTTGTTAACTCTGATGACTGAATTATGTCTTGTTTGAATTTCCATTTCTTCAGTGTCTATTGAATTTTCCATGTTTGTTAACCAGATGTACTTCATCTTTTTTCAAGACTTTTTTCTGCTTAACTGTTGGGATCTTAATATTCTTCTTATCAATTAGTGTGAGGGCTTTATATAGTAGAATGTCTGAGTGCAGGAAATTCTAGAAGTTCCTTAAGGAATAGATATGGCTGGCTTCTCTGTACTCTATGATAATAGTTAATAATTTGGAATCAGACTACCCAGGATTAACTTTTGCCATTGCTACTTTCTAGTTGTGTATCCCGAGCAGGTAATCTAACTGCCTCAGTTCCCTCACCTGTGAAGTGGGGATAATAATGGGGTACCTGTTAGGAATCAGTAAGGGTGTATACATCAAGTTTTAGTAGAGTGCCTGGCTGGGACTCAATGAACTTGAGCTTATGTCACCATTATTATTTCCCAGATAACCTTGTCAGAATTCTGGAATGTTTCTACCCCGCCCTCTTCCAGCCCCGGTGACCAGGCTGTCTCATTTCGTGTTTTTGCAGATCAGCCAAATGGCCGACGACACCGTTGCAGAGCTGGACAAGCATCTGGCAGTGAAGACCAAAGAACTCCTTGGATGAAAGTCACGGGGCCAGTTTCTAGGGACCCACCTGGTGGCAGATTGGCATCTCTGTACCCTGTCCACACAGAAGGCCGACACCCTGTGCTCATCAGTCCTTGTGAGGCCCAGCCTTCCAGAGGGACACCCAGACTTGTTCAGTCCCTTCCTCCGGCCCTGTCGCCCCGATCTGCTCTGGGCCTTCTGGCACAGGTGGACCTTTGGAGAATCTCTGCTGCTGCCTAATGACCAGGGCCACCGGCAGGCTGACCACTGACTAGTCCTCATCTCAGGAGCCTCCTTTCCAAATAATTAGTCCGGCCCTGTCCCCAAATTTCAACGTTGCTTGGGCTGATGTGGGCCTTCACTTGTGACTGGATACTTTTGCGAGAGGCCTATTTTCACCAAGCAATAAAATCAAAATAAATTGGAAATAATAACCTCAAAGGAAATGATAGAGTCCTTGTAGATGAATGATTTCTAAGGAGCTGGTGTGTGGAAAGCAGCCAGAACAATACTTTTCCCTCAGTCATTTCACACATGCTCTTTACTCTCCGGACCTTTCCCCGACTCCTCACCGGGCCAGTCCTGTGCCTGCTTCACTTCTCAGGGGGCTGGCACTTCCTCGGAAGCCTCCTTTCCCCCGGCTGAGAACCCCCAGTATTGGCTCTCACCCACACCTTAGCTGTTCTTTTTGATAATTAGTCTCTGTATCTTCAGTATCCTCAGAAGTTGACATAATGCCTGGAACCAATAGGCACTCAAATGTGTTGTGAATGAATTGCACGTAATATTTGCACAATAAATGCTGGCTTCTTTTCCTTTCTTCCCACTGTTAACTCTTTCATTCCATCACCTTCCGCTCTTGCTCTGTCCTCAATATTTACTTGGTAATGAGGTGCCTTTCCCCCAGGGTCTGCCTCTTAGTGACAGACAAGCGATTTATTGTGGCTCATCTTTGGGTACTGGATTAAGTTAGGTTTTTCCCTCCCCAATAATTTTTCTTTTAATCATTCATTTGTTCGTTCATTCATTCATTCATTCATTCATAATAGAGCCATGATAAGCTAAATACAGTTCTAGGCAATATTTTAAAAATATATTTTTATTGACTTCAGAGAGGAAGGGAGAGGGAGAGAGAGAGAGAAACATCAATGATTAGAGAGAATCATTGATTGGTTGCCTCCTACATGCCCCTCATTGGGGTTCAAGCGCGAAACCCAGGCATGTGCCCCAACTGGGAATCAAACCATGATCTCCTGGTTCATAGGTCGATGCTCAACCACTGAACCATGCCCATCATTTGTATGTCAGGTACAGTGCCATGTACTGGGAATACAATAATGGGCAAGATGCGGCACCGTCTCTGAGGGTGTGTGGTGCCCTGGACTGACCTACTGTTTGTAATGTCATGGGTGGAAGGTAGGACGTTCATCCAGTTCAGTTCTGTCAAATGTCTGCCTTTAGAAGGGCACCCACTTTGGCAGCAGCCGGGCCCAGCCACACTCTGAGCAGCATCAGCTTCTCCACTGTCTGACTCCTCTGGGGCTCTGCTCCGCGCTGGGGGGCATCGGGGTGCCCTTCGCCTTCTGCTTGCACTGGTGGAGCAGGCTGCATGGCAGCCAGTGCAGACTCAAGGTCAGCATCAGGTTGAAGGTGAAAGAAGCTGACACATGTCCTGCCTGCTTACCTGTCCTCTGTCAGACCCTGTCCTCCAGCCCCGAGTAGCCATCCCACAACTGGAAGTCAGCTGAAGGAAGAACAGGGTCGGAAAGAGCCATCGAGGAGCCTTTTTTGGGGTAAGCCGCATAGCAAGGGCTTTGCAACAGTCTTTCATGAGTGGCCGAAATCCCCCACTCACTGCAAATGTGCTTCTCAAAGATGCAGGATTTTTTAATAAACAGAGGAAATGATAAATTATGTTGTAATTCCACTCCAAAGGCATTTGGTTCTTAACAGCCAAATCCTCTGTAGTCTTTAAATAAACAAAAACTTATTTGGTGAACAGACGGGGGGGAAATTGAAAGATTTTCTGTACTTGGGTTCCACATGTCAACAATTTCTCTCCTGTGTGTATGTTGGCCAAAGCCGAATATCATGATAAATGAAGAAAGGAAAACCTCAGGCCCAGGGCCGTTAGACAGCTCGGCAAATGGCTTTCAGCTGATTGCTCTATTTTGGTTGACATTTATCAAAGACTTTCTCTGTTACTCGGCGTGTCAGGGCTTCGGTGGTGGCAGGGACGAGAAGAAGACTACCTGTTTGGATGTGCTGAGTAATGAGTAATGCCGGAGTGATTCACTCTCCCTCTCTTCCTTCTTCAGTTTCTCTTTCAAAGACGAAAAGCTGGGTATAGACATTCTCACACTTGCCAGAGGAATTAACCATCTCCTCTATTCAGTTCAACAGCTTTCAAAGTCTCATGAAAAATATAGGCCAAAGAGAATTCAAGAACTTTTTCTGGTTATTTTCTTTCTTCCTTGCACGTGGGGGGAGTGTGTGTGTGTGTGTGTGTGTGTGTGTGTGTGTGTGTGTGTGTGTGTGTGTGTGTGAAATGACAAGAAACTAGGATGTTAAAAATTAGAAGAAACTCTTCAGACGTCCTTATGCCCCTTTAAAAATTAGAAGTGTATCCTTCCAGACCTTTCTCTATACATACATAATTTTTTTAAAGTGAGGAGGAGAGTTATTCTGTTCCTATTCTGAAGCTTGCTTTGTTTACTCAACAGCATGGCCATCCATCCATGTGTGAACATGTGGACACAATTTATTCTTTTTCATTGCAATGTAGTATTCCACAATGTGAATGCACCATAATTTATTTCCCTATTACCTCTAACATTTAAAAAAAAATATTTCAAATGCATAGAGAATATTTCTATTTAAAGTGTTTTGTTTTTTAAATAAAAAGAAGAAGCCCTATTCTAAATTTATGTTTGGTAACCTTTTCCTCAACCTCAGACTAACATTTATGGAATGCCTACTGTGGACCAGGTACCATGGCTGGACACCTGTGTTACTACATTCAAACTTCCGAACAATCCTAGTTGGTGGAGGCATTACTCCTATCTGTGTTTACCTGTGAGAAAACTGAAGTTCAGAAAGGGTATTTAACTTGCCCAAGGTCACACAGGTGGTAAGTGCCAGAGTGGAGTTTGACATTCCTATCTGCCTTTGAAGTGTGTCCTTAATCAGCGTGCTTCAGTTTGTAGGTCTCCATCGAGTACTCACTCAAAAAGCACCTAGCATTGTTCTGGGCCCAAGGGTGATAGAGAAGCAGAAAGCTTGCTTTCCCAGAACAATTAGAAAGCTACTTCTAATAAAGGACCCCATGCAAAGTAGCAGAGTAAACACCAAGGGAATGGTAGCTCTTATGGAAACAGTAAAGACTACATATTGATACCTCACCTGGTGTCAGACTCCTCTACCACATACCAGAGAACCAGAGAGTGAGCCAAAAGACCACCCGGCAGTGAATAATGTTAACAACAATAACAGTATTGATAGCATCGGTGACTGATACTGACTTGGTGCTTTTTAGTTTTCTAAGTGCATCTACATCCTTTATCCCACTGAAACCATTGAGTGAAACTTTGCAGTTTCCTTTGCCCTAATGATGGTCAATGTCATGATGTGCATAAAAAGGGATATTCTCTATTTGGGGGACAAATTTTGTTATGTACAACAGGGGCTGGCCTGGCCAGAGGGCAGGGCATATGTATCTTCTCTCCCTTCAAGGCTCCAGCCTCAGCCCAAATGGCCCCCCTTTGCTGATACTGACAGGGGCTACCATGTCCTGGGCCTTTGCTGTGTATAAGTAAGTCTGGAAGCTAGTTATTATTTTGCTCATTTTACCAATGAGGAAATTGAAGCCCAGAGAGGTTAAATGACTTGTGCAAAGGCCGTCCTATATACGGTATGGAGTGCAGGGAGTCTGACCCCCCAGCTGGGCAATCTCAATAAATTATTTTAACTCAGGCCAGAGCAGTGCAGAAGCGAGAGCCTATAGGTCCTGTCTTAGTTTTGCCCTTTCTATCCTCAATAAAGGTCACTCCATTCCCCCATGGGTACCAGGGAGGGGCTTGGACAAGATCAGAGAACCCAGGCTAGTCCCTGGCAGCAATTTCACCCATTTGGGGCAAAATAAATAAAGGCAATGTAGCAAATGTTTTCATACAATAGGTAATTTAACTTAAAAGACTATTCTATATTCTTACATTTTGCTCTTTCTACTTGTGTGTTTAGTGTTAAAATATTCTTATGATAAGAAGCTGGTGATTCTAAAAAAAAAAATCATTATTTAGAAATATAAGAAGTTAGTCCCCTCCTTTTTATTTAACTTCACTGATGCATGAATCCCAAAGTCTGGCAGCTATGGTGCCCTCACGCCTACTCCTAGAGCTGATGTCCCTGAGGCTGCCATCCAAGGGCAGCTGGAACTGTAACCAGAGGGACGTAGGGAGGCAATTTGAGCTGTGTGGGTGTCAGGGACCCCGTGGGTGAGCAGGCGGTGGCTGAGGGGCAGGGTTAGGAAACAGGACAATAGTCAATCAGGAGGGTTCAGAGACCTACAGGGAGGAGGGGCGGGTGAGGAGAGGTTAAGTCGGAGAGCGGAGAGAGGGAGGCAGGGACAGAGACAGATACACACACAGGGCCAGAGGGAGAGAGGGAGACAGAAACACACCCACATGCACACTCCCGAGCGAGCACACGTAGAAGCCTAGAGATCAGCAGGTAGAGACAAAAAGAGATGGCGACAAACAGTCACAGAGACGGAGAGAAACAGATGGTGACAGTGCGACAGTTAATAGATATCCGGAAAGAGACACCAAGAAATAGAGACAGAGACACAGAGGGAGATAGAGAAATATACCCAAAGTCATTTCATATATCTATATATGAATATACACACAAAGAAAGGGACCAACATCCAGGGAGAGAGAGACAGAGTATTTTAAAAAAAATGGGTTGGGGAAGAAGGAAAGGGAAGGAAAAGGAAGAAAAAAAGAAAAATGAAAAGACACACATTTAGATGGAGAGAAGTGAGGGCAGACGACAGTGGGGAGAGAGAGGGAGGCTGTGGCCGTGCTGGGCCCCAGGGTCGTGCAGGGTGTGGGTGGAGGAAGAGCCAGCGCTGGCCGCCAGGGCTGCGGGGACCAGATAAGGACGCCTGCCAAAGGAAAGCAGGGGAAGGAAAGACGTTTACTGATCCCCGGGGGAGAAAGCCAGGGAGGCTGCCCCAGGCCCCAGAGAACAATAGGTACTTGACTTCAGCGGGTCATTAATGAGACAATTAATGGAAAGAGTAACAGAGTCCTCCCCGAGAGGCCTTGGAGAGTGGATAAGTGGAATTATTGTGAGGGGTGTGCAGAGGTTCAGGGGGAGGGGGGCTGTCCTCACAATCCAGATGTCCAGCATGCCAACTGCAGATTCCTCACCTGGGGCACGGGGCCTCCCCAGCCCCCCCTCACATGCCCTGTGCTCCCTCCACCCTGGACTGTACCAGCCCCTAGGTGTGTCCTGGCTTTCCTATCCCCAGCCCTCTATGCTGCCACTCACTCTACCTGGAATGTCATCCCTTGATTATCTCCATCCATGGAAACCCTACCCATTCCGGGGAAAATAAATGTGCATCCATAGGATGCAATGGTAAGCCAGGGCCACATGTTTCAACAAGAATAGAGCCCCCAAAACATAAGGAGCCATGGGAAAAGCAAGTGGAGTCATAGATACAGTGTGATGCCACTTACATAAGTTAGAATGACATAATCAAAAAGTGATTCTTTAAAAAAATTATTCCTGGTTCTATTTTGCATTATTTTTAAAAG